ATTATCAAGTTGCTTACATGCCATCATGCCCTATGTTTAAACCTCCTTGCCTGCTTTAACATGTCAAGTGCATCATTTTATACGTGTATTTAAATAAAAAAAATATTAAATTAACTATTTTTTTGTATAATTAACACACCAAAATCATTAAAAAAAATTAAAAGAACACTCTAAAAGAATGTATCTAATATTCTCTCTTCCTTTCATCTCTCTCGGAAATGATTTAATGTGTCACGTCTTTTTTCGATCTAATTATTAAGCTGTACATGAAAAATCCGAAATTTCCTGGTGGGTAAGAGGTTTAAAGATCTGACAATAACTAAGTTAAGATTTATTAAGTGTAAAGACCTGACAACAAGTCACATAAAATAAGGCAGTTCCTTGGGGTGATAAAGGGGTGGAAGTACAACTGAAGTTGATTTTATATTACTCATCGAATTCATGCATATGGGGCGTGTGTTTTGCTGTCTTGTTGCACTAATCTCTTCCTTCCTTTAAAAATTTTTCTTGCATTGCATACGAGGATTGATTTTTGGGTTGTAAATTAAATACACTTTACTACAACTGCCAAGTACGACTGGTGTCAATTCTTTGTAGTATCTTGTCTTATGGTCCTGGGAGTTATGCATGAGCTCCCATGCTGCTGCATTTATAGTTTTCCAAGCGCATGTTCACGTGTCTATAAGCCATTTGATTGATTCCGAAATCCAAGATTGCCTTTATTAATTTTTAAAATCCATCACCACCAGTAAAAAGAGCATCAGGGTTTATAACTGGAACCAACCTTTGGAAATTATATACATGTTCAAGGACAATCTAACGTGTGCGCTTTGTTTTGTCTGGCTTACTGTAATATTTCGGGAAACACATCTTTATAAAAAGCAAATTAGTTTTTTTCGCCTTTTGCTCTCTATTCAAGATCTTAATGTGAATATTGGCTGATCTGATCCGATGTATGATCTGATATGATATCATCCTTGTCTCAATCTAAGTCTAATGGGTTCTTAATTACATATTTTTAGGCTTGATCTAAGGAGAACAGATTGTAGCTATAACTAAGGAGAGACATCAGGACATGTAGCTAGAATTATATATGGAGACATACATGTAATCCTATATAGACATGTAGCACGTGCGTACATATGAATGAATGAAGAGAAACTCTCTCTTCTAAACTCATTTTCTCTTCGTTAAATGAGGTTCAATGTGTGTTTTTCTAATCTTGGTCTAATCCTTTCAGAACGCATGAACTGGTTACTAGTTTTCCTTGTTATCGAAATCGAATACACCACTCCTCTTTTACTAGATAGAGATTAGAGACTCTCTCTCTATTATAAAAAATATAAGTAAAACAGGAACTTATTGTTCAAATGAAGTGGGGGAAAAAAAAAACTTGTTGCCTAGGTATTATTCACCTTATGGATCTTCTTCTAGAGAGCGAAGCTCGGGTATGGGATGCAGGGCTGGTCTCCACGATGAAGATTTCTGATACTCAACGTCACTAGCGTTCAGCACAACAATCTGACCCCAGTTCAGCCGCGGCCCAATATCTTCATCATCGTTTGTGCCAGGTGAACAATCTGACGGCATCTTCTTGTGGAGGGTAGATCTGGGACCTGCAGCCCCTCTTGAACGTGCCAGCCTCATTAGACCGTCGAAGGTGTCCTTGTCTATAGCTTGCTGGCCTTCTTCAACCAGGAAGTATAACCCATTACTGCGGAGCTCAATAGAACCCGGCAGTACCAGTAGCGATTGGTCTGACCTGCATCTTAGTATCATATTACGTGGGTTAGATGCTAGGATCTCTTTAACGTGTGTGCCTTCCTTGATTTTCATCACCTGACCATTTTGTTTGATAACAAGGACATGCCTCCCTGATTTCCCTGAGGTACAGGGGCATGAAACGGAGCCGCCCATGATTTTCGAACCTTATTATTTACCTCTATCCTTTGTTTTACGCGCCGTTTATATAAGGGCGAATGTGTTGGTAGTTTTTGGTACGGACAAAATGCTTGTAGGAGAAATCAAGGAACTTCTGGATACCAAATTTAAATTGCATGCTGAGGTGTGTTTTTTGGTCTGTTGGTACTGCCAAATCGTAGCTTATCCCCAGTTTGTTTTTGATGTCACTGCAGAAAAGGAAGAAAGAAGAAGAAGAAAAAAAATTAAGAGCTGTAACTTTCCGACTAAGTGCCATTATTTGCAAATCTGTTATAAAAAATTAGTAATTATCGCGAATTACTATACACAGCTTATCAATCGTCAATTGCATTTGATTAATTACATTTTGAATGATTGATTTGTGAGTATATCAGCGAAATCCCACTAAATTTATTTATGAAATGCCATTTTCTTAATTAGCGGCATTTGTTGACATGCTGTTACACAACAAGAGGAGCAATAACTCAATTGGAGCCTCATGCATGGAGAATTCTATATAAACAGAGAGATAATTACCTCCTCATTCTTTGTTTTGAGAACCATTTTCACCTGGCACCTCGTATTATTTGGCTACACACCTTATAGAAGAAAAACTAGTATTTTTTTAGAACTCATGCAATTGATGTTTCGATGTGTCTTGTAATAAATATGAAATAAAAATAATAATGGAAAAAGGACGCGCAACATATTTTCTTCTTGTTTTTTCTCTTAATAATAAAATGAAATAGGACTGAATAAAATGAAAGATTTTTTTGGACCGAAACCTTTTTAACAAGAAATGGACAAGCTGTTTGCCTGTCAAATGATTCATCATTGCTAAGGTTACTCGATCATACTCTGATAGCAAATTAACTCAATTCCTTATAGCAAACAACATATTTTTAACGTAAGATGGAAAGTAGAATTACAAGAAAATAGAGGATGGAAAGTGAGAAGTTCTCAAAACACAAAGCGTGGAGTGTAATGACATTCAAAATAGAGGATGACAGGGGTAATTAATTCATACAAGTAAACTACATACATGAACACATGCCAGAATTATGTTATTATAAGAAGACTTAATCATTTATAATTAATAAAATACCTTTAATTAATTAACGGAGCGAAATTGCAGGGTGTAGCTAGCTATCACATTGAAAATGTCGGGACGATATTTATTTAGAACAAATTAGGAAATTTCCTCAAAAGCATCTGGATGGATGATCGCTCTCTAGAAAAGGCAAGAGGAAAAGAGGTCGATGTAGACTTATGTTTCTGTGTAATGTACTCCTTCCCTTTGTCTTTATATTCAAGCAAAGCTTCGAAAAGGGGATCCTTCCAGCATCTACCCTGTTTCGTAGGTGGAATGGATCTATAGTGGAGGATGTTATATATAACATGTGATGTGCCCAAGATTCTACCCGGGGGGTCATATTTTTCACATAGAATTAGCTAGGCATGCCTCCCATACATACACGCACACCATGCTACGGTTCAAACTATTTCTTTTTTTAACACAAAAAAGATATACAAGTTGCACGAAATTATTTGATGTTCTCGTTAAATCTGGTACAATAACTCACATTTGAAACTCTCAACTTGAGTCTTTGCAAGGTCCAGTTTTCCAATTAAATCATGTAAAAATTATGTTAATATAACATAGTTAACTTGATAGATTTTAAATTAAAAAAATAAAAAATAAAAAATAGATATATAGCTTAAAAATAATCTGAATAATCATTGAAAATGAATTTGACTTTTAAAAAAAAATTCAAAGTTCACATTATTTTTTTAACATATAGATGATGTATTAGATCAATTACGGTTAATACTTCTTAACTTGTCAAATCAATGACCTGAGTTGTTAATTCTAATGAGTTCAATAATATTTTTTTTTATTTTAATTGCATGATAAAAAAATAAAAATCAATTCAAAATCAACTCAAACATTAAATAATAAAATTAAATTAAATAAAAAATTCATCAAAAACCTAACACTAAAAGTTTCTTTTTTGTTTAAAAAAATTCAAATCAGGTGTACATATCTAAGTAGCCAACATATCAGGATTTTAAAAAAGTTATTATAATTATGATCAAACTCTTTTCATTAAAAAGAATATATTTACACCAAGTTTGATTATTTTTTGTTATTAGTGTCTTGACAATTATTATTATTTTTTTTTTCATGATTTTCTGATAACTTTCTTTCTTATCCTTTTAACTTAAGAACTAAAAATGATCAAAATAAATTTTTGAAGTAAAATATAAATTGTAATTAATTTGGGTTGAGCCATGTATTTTATCCTTATTTTTATTTAGAATTTAATTTCATATAATTGATACAATTAAAAAAAATGCTCGAACTATTTTTTTTTAAACTGGCAGGTGATAAATTGTTCATGTGAATTGCGAACACAATTCATTGTTCTTTTTGTTAATTATTCATGTAATTATTCATGTACAAGCTAGGAAACTGATAATATATTTTGATTAAAAAAGAGAGAGGATAATATACATTAGTTAAATAAAAAAATGACGAGGCTAACATACATACATACATACATATATATATATATATATATATTCCATGGACAAGAGTGTGTGTCTTAATAGTTGCATGTAATTTCGTTAAAGGAATAGGAATTAGGGTAAGAATGGATCTGTATTATTAATTTAGAAAAGGTGAATCACTATTATTGTTGTTAGTGGTAAGTTGGAAGGAAGGAGAAAAAGCATTGCTATTTTCTAGTTCCTACTTCCTACACGATCGATGAGGTTGACAGGCTTGAGGAGGCCGATTAATAGTAATGTCCATTTTGTCTCCACTGCACTTTCCCTCTCTACTGCACTTCTGGTAGTGCTCCTGCAGGTTTCATCAGTGCTCCTCCAACATTCCATCTCATAGGCTTGATCATGCATAGCTGGAAGTGCTAGCCTAGCTGATAATTAAGCACCAGCTTGAGCTGACAAACAGGAGATACCAACCATCAAGACGATCGAGCTGAGTGAAAAGAAATGAGAGAGAGAGAGAGAGAGCAAGCAAGGCTAGACTACTCCCTGAATTGCACCAAATTAAAATCCCAAGGCTGAAGAAAAAACAACTAAATTTTCTAGTTTCAGGCCGGATATTGATATTGCATACGAGGAAGTACACGTTTGAAATTTAGACAAAAACATGTGTCATACATCTGTTGGGATACACCCACCATGCAGTCATCCTCTCTCTTAACCCGCACGCACAGGAACCCCTACAAATATTGACCTCACAATTGAAGAGCCAGATCAGGGTCAAGCTCCTGCCTATCCACCAAGGTTAATTGTTGAGTTTTCGAAAAGAACAGACCTCTGGACTCTTCTTGACGGGCAGCATACATTCCAGTAAGAGGGAAATAGCCTGATGGTGTTTGTGAATTTCAATTTTGGAAAGCACTAATTTGCCTGAGAGTTGCGATAAGAAGATCCATATTGCCATTGGTGCATGCCCCTCATTCTTGCTTCTGAAGAGCCACAAGCATCCACATTTTTGCTTGTGTTGACAGCTTTTTATCCCATCAAAGCAAATTCATGCTTCCATCATTGTTGGGATGAGCTCTAACCCCTTGCAGAGAATTACGAGTAGGAACCATTCCTCCAGTATTACAACCATTCACACCTCCATTGGGACACACCGTCTTTACTTTATAAGAAACAGGTGAGATAGAATTGAAACTATTGTGAGGCATAAAACCATCATTAACACCGGTCACACGAGCAGGACTGTCAAGTGCGGTTGATATAGGGTCTATAGAATCTGTCTTCTTGCTAAAAGAGGTTGGCATCCAATTAGACTTCCGATGTATCAGAACCTGCAGCATCGAATCACATCAATCAGCCTAAGGAAGGTACGCAACGAAAACGATGGAATTTCAAAGATTATACAATCAGCCTTGGCTTGGGACACTCGAAATTAACTGGACTTGAAGAACTTCACCTTTAAGTTTTAGTAGAAATGGATGAACTGAGGATTCTATTTCCCCAAGCCAAGATATTGTTCATAAAATTAGGATTTTTGCTCTTATTTGTTAACAGCGACAAGGACGCATGGTTCTGAACCAACAAACAAACACTTGCATTTCATTTTTGTGATCTTTCAAACAATTTATGTTCCCCTTTTCTACGTTTTCCTGGCTTATCCAGAAGAACTTCAAAAGGTCAGGAATGGAAGCCAATAATGTCTGCATTGTTTTAGAGGTAGATCAGGTCAATTCTTGTGTGCGTGCTGTATCAAATCATGCTTGATAGCTGTGGTTTTACATATTTTGCATGTCCTGTTCCTTCGTGCGCGCACATAATTGGGTGCATTTGTGTCGACATATGTACTGTGTTGCTTTCTCAACATTATACGATGGACTTACAGGGGTAAGTAGCTTTGGGGCATTATGGTCTGCATAAACTATCGACTCATTGCCATTGACAGAGGAAGTTCGAGGCATGTATGTCACAAGCCTAACACTTTCAAAGGAGTCTAAATTTCTACCTTCTCTTTAGCCCGTTCAAGCAAGTAGAACATATATAGTGTTGGCTTCCTTTCACTCTATATAAGCAGATGGGGTTAGAGATAAATGCATGTGTAGCAGTGCTAAAGAAAACAATGAGAAGGGTTTGCAAGTTTATTAAAATCTTCAAAGCAGAAATTCATGAAATTCTGGTCTCCACACTAAGTTCATGAACATGAATTTATGGAATCATTTTCCATGCATGAATCCACATTTGACGATCCTTACCAGAATATGTTACTTAAATTATCTTCAAAAGGTGCTTTTATGATATTGACAACATCCAAATGGTTGTTCAAGCACGTCAAGTCAATAAAGAAGGAGCAGTTGTAGATCATTTCATCTCTTACCAGAGGGTTTAGACGTTTTGAAGAAAGGTGTGTTTGGGTAGCTCTCTTTAGAGAGGGGTTGTTTAGTGAAGCACCACCTCCGGCCCCAACAAATATAGCAAGCTTATCCAGTATACTTCCAGCTTCGCCCTAGCCCTTTTTAGCAGGACATCTTCTCATCTCGGAGTGTTCTGGCTCAAATTTCTCTGGTTCAGTTCTCAGAGAATTGAAGACCTGCAGAGCCAGTTCACTTATAGCACGAGCCTGGAAACCACAGTGTTGCATTAATTGAGATGCCCAATATCTTCTTTTACTATCATGCTACCATCTTGCAAAATAAAAACTTTCAACTCTACCTCTGTATAATACAAAGTTGTCGATGAATTAAATTTAATTGCCTTGCTGGATATGAGAAACACATCATGCTGCAGAATAATTCAAAGAAATCGAGATCTTCTTATGATATTGACTGAACAAATGAAGATAAGAATCTGTTTTTCACTAACTGACCTGCAGGCTTGTTTACTTTCAATAAGTGGAACACTACATATATAAAACAATGTTGGTGGGATTCTAGAGGGGCGAAAAAAGAAACAAAAACACATCTACACAATCTATGAGACAAGATAATATTAACCAAGAAAGACTGCATAACAAGAAAGATCAAAGCCAGGCCATAAAATCACATCTTCTAGTCATACCTTGTTTTGCAAAACCATCACCCACATGGTGAGCATTGCGCGGAACATGAGAGAAAGACACCGAGTCCAAATGTGAAGAAAATCTAGATACAATGATGAAAAGAGCATAAAATGTCCACGGCCTATTAAGTGGCTTATTTATCCAGTTAACCACAACAGCAGAATCAGATTCAAAGATAAACTTTCCTCCAATATAATCATCTCACGAAGAAGATATTTCAAGAGCTTTAATATCATACCTAGCAACTCAGCTTCATTTGAATCTTTAATCCCAACAGGAGCAGAGAAAAAACCCAGAACCAAACCTTTATGATTGTGAAGAGCCCCTCCAATACCAGCAAGTCTAGGTTTCCCAATAGAAGAACCATCAACATTCCATTTTAGCACATGAGATTTAGGGTAAACCATGAAATGATAGCTAGTAATCTTGTTGTTTGACCATCGAACCAAACCATCAGTAGATAGTTAAAGTCAAGAGCACAAAAAGAAAAATCAGAGAATAAAGCAGTCAGGTTGAAAACTTGGATAATCCTTTAGTAGAGGATAAAAGCAGAAGCTTGGGAACCTGTACCACAAAGTAATTACTTGCAGGGAAGCACCATGAAGGAAAGGAGGTTGATGGCCTTCTTGATTTTTTAGCATTACCTGAAATTGCTCCAGACTTGTAACATTCCTTACTGAAGTTTGGCCCATGTGGTTCCAAAATTTTTGACTCTTTAATGATATTGTAATAGCAATAACCTCTAAAAGAAACAAACACTATTAACGTCATCGTGGATAGGAAGAGGGCGAGTTGTTTCAGGTCTACGTGCACAGTGAACAAGAACCGGAACCTATTCATATGATCATCTATTTGATTCAAGCAGTGGAGTCGGCTCTTTTCTTTTGCTTAAAGCAAGCAAATGAATGCTATCAAGATAATCACCCTTGTAGGATGTCAAGGATAAAATTCCAGTTTTGATCAAAGCATCATCATCATCTTCTTCTTTTGGGTTTTCATCTTCCCGCGAACAGATAAATGCAAGTGATGAATTCGTGGAAACTTTAGGATTGAATTGGACTGGGCTTTCCTTAACTGTGTCTACTAGGCTTGATTGTTTTTGACAAGCTAGTCTCCTGTCGGAACAAGGCTCTTTAATGCTTAAATTTGTATATATAGAAGGAGAAAATAATTTAAATAAAGAAAAATAAGCAATAAAAAAAATGTTAGAAAGAGAAGCAAGCGCAATATGAGTTGTAAATGCCCTGACTTGGATTTAATCGCCTCGCTTGCTTGGCTTTTAATTCTAGTTTGAAATTTTGTTAGTTGTTAAGTAGTTTTTTTATTTAAAATAAATTAATTTTTGATATTTAGTAGTATAATAAAAAATAAATTTAAAAATATTTTTTAGTGTTTGATTATATTATGAAAAATAAGTTAAAAAATAATTTATTAATAATTTATTTTTTTAAGTTTATTAAAATGATGAGGAACAAAACTTCCAAATAAAAAAGTTGAATAAGAATAAAATTAAAAAAAATATAATTTCATAAATTATCTCAAATAAAATAAATTATAATTAAAATAATAGATATAAAATCTAAAAAATAAAAAAATTTAAAGATAAAGAAATTAAAAAAAAAAAATTAATATTTCATAAATTATTTTAAATAAAATAACTAACAATCAAAATAATTAGAATCAAATTTGATAGATAAAATTTTTTAATTAAAAATGATAAAAAAAAGAAGTAAGTAACAATTATAAAAATGAGGACTAAAGTTAATGTAAAAACTAAATTTTAAAGAACAAAATTGAAAAATAAATATTCAAAATACAATATATATAACAATAAAAAAATTTGAGAACTAAATTTAATATAATCAGTAATCTTTCTAAATTTTTTATAACTTTCAGAAAGTATTTTCTTTCTAAAATAATTTTTTTTATTGAAAACCAAACTAAATTTTTAAAAATTAATTTTTATAATGATAAATAAATAAATAAAATTTAAAAATTAATTTTCTAGAAAATGCACCCTTGGTAGCATGGACTGGCTTCGAAGTTGCTGGAAATCGGCTCTTCTTTCTTATTATTTATATAACATGGTCACTTCAACTTACTCTAAAGTGTAGAGGTGAGTTGCACCACTAGTGGAGGAGTTGACACCGCAAGTGGTTGTTGTGATATTCGTAGAGAAATATGGAACAATTACAGAGAAAAGTGACGTTGCCCTGCATTGAAAAATATGTGTGTGTGTGCACAAAGCGAGATATTGGACAACCTAATGTAAATATGTGAGGCTGTAGTATTTATATTGAATTATTGAAATGTGCATTCCTTTATTATTTTTATTTTGTGTGACAGCTACTGCTTGAGATTTGTGTCCGTTTGTTCCCTCAAATTTTGATTATTATTATTATTATTTTGCATAAATTAAATTTTTAAAATATATTTTTAGATCATTTTAATATAATAATGTCAAAAATAATTTTTTAAAAATAAAAATTATATGTTGATGTATTTCTAAATAAAAAAAAAATTTTGAATCGGCATTATTACTATAATTATAAACAAACTACAAGTGAAAACCCTTTACTTGTTGAACCTATGAAATGAAAATTATGAAAATAAAAGCGCACGCACTTAGACTAGCTCAATGCTAGAATAATCTTCTAAGTACTTAGGCCTGGCTTGGGAAGGCGGTGTCCTTGGGCTAGTAGAAATGAAAAGTTCTGATTAGATAAGGATTTATCATCAATAAATCATGTAAAAATCCTAGTCGGTGATTGATGGGTCGGTGTGACAAAACTAAACCTAAACTCAAAAGAAAATCATATCAACAAAACAATATTAAAAGATCATAACTTTTAGTTAGACTATTAAATTAAATTTCAATATTTCCAGGAGATTATCACAGCTTAGTTCTATGAAAAATCTAATTATTGTAACCAACTAAGTTTTGCAATACTCTCCAATTAGGCACTAAAGACTATATTTAAGTCAATTTTGTTATTTTTCTTTGATATTTCTAAATTTTATGTTATTTCTAGATTTTTTTATTAGTTTTCCTTTTCCTTTAGAGATTATGATTTTTCTTCCTTGTTAATGTTAGTTTTAAACCTATAAAGACTAGTAAACTTCATTTAAAGGTAGAAATTATTAGACTTGTTTACAAAAATAAAATTAGTACCTGGGATTCTTGGTGTAATGATCCTATTTGGACCAAAACTCTTTCTATTTCGACACTAGTTTCTTAAAGTATTGAAGTCTTTTCATATAAACTATTTGTTATTTTAAATTATTCAAGAAAAAATAAATATTTTTCAATTTTTAATTGCATAATGAAATAACTAGAATACCATTAAAAGTAAAAAATAAATAAAAATTATTTGGGTTTACAAGGTATTTTTATATTTTTCACAATGATTGTTTTGTTATTATAATTTAAGCTTAAAGATATTATGATATTTGCCCAAATATAAAAAATAAAAAATAATTAAAATGCACCATCAAAGAACAAAAACACCATTAAATTAAAAAAAATTTAAGACTTAGGTCAAGGTTTTTTTTTTTGTTTTACACAATGGTTTTCTTTTTTTGTAATTAGAAAATCAACTCAGAAGCACTTTAATATTTAAAAAAACAAAAAAGAACGTGTGCTTATAACATATCTAAAAGCGTGCATGTGGTGTCTCTCAACGTTAAAAAAATGCCTTTTACCTCAGAGCACGTTTGATGTCTTGTCCTCTTTCTCTTGCCCTTTTCTATTGATGGAGTGCATGTCTCCAATGATGATTTAGTTTATCACCAATTAGTGTTTTTTTTCTCTTTCCTCCTAAAAAAAGTATAGCTTAACTCTCTTAGTTGTTAGTATATTAACTTTAGTTTTTATTTTTTTAAATTCTCATTTTTAGTCTTGGTTTTTTTATAAAAGTTTTTTTTTATTTTTAATTTCATCATTTGATCCCAATTTACTAAATATTATATTTTTTAATTTGATCATCATTCTTTGAATATCTAAAGGTTTGCCTTAGCTTTGTTGTAAATTTTTTATTAGTTTTCAATTTCATCCTTCATTTTAAATTGATAGTATTATGTTTTTCAATTTAATCTTTATTGTTTTGATTTCTAATTTTTTTAATGTTATTTTTATAAAAGTTATTATTCTTTTCAATTTCACCTTTTAATCAAAACATTGTTTTTCATGTTAATTTTGACCCTCATTCTTTTGATTTTTTTATCCTTTTACTCAATTTATTTTTCTTTTCAATTTCACCTTCAATCAAATATAAAATTTATTTTGTATTTTACTTGTGATCCTCATTATTGTAATTATTATTTTTTAATCTTTTTTGTAATTAAGATTCTTTTTTTACTTTCAGTCTTCAATATTTGATTGATTTAAAATTAAATTTTATATATTTTTTTAAATTGAGTGTTTTAGGTTTATAGATTTGGATCATGAAAAGTTAATCTAAGTTTTTTATTATAAAAAAATGATTTTAATTTTTTGTATTGGATTATTACAATTTCTTGACATGGTTTATGAATATGGTGTAATATCTCAAGTTTGATTGACCTGATTATCCTAATTGTAAGTTTGTTCTTTAACCCTATTTATGTATCTGAATACCATTTTTTGCAATAAAATAAAATAAAATAATAAGAAGCGTGGACACCGTGAACAGTGGTAATCTATCAACCAACCCTTGACTCGAACCTCATAAAGAGTCAGAAAAGCTGGCACCTTCAGTTCCATAGCCAAGTTTGTCTCCATGAGTTAGTGGATTTGGGAGTTCCATCCCCAGCACAGAATTAAATGCCAGACATGAAGTAATTAAGCCTAGAACCACTCCTTCTCACACAATGCTTTATCTCGAGTTAGTTTCTCCACTGCTACCTTCGGCTTGGCACTCCCAGCCTGACCCAGCATTCCATGACCTGCTCCAAAGCCATCATCCAATGAACTCTCTTCAGGCACACCAAATTGCATCCTATTAATTAGCTAGCTTCCTCCCTCATGTCAGTCATGGCATATCTTTCCTTAGTCTTCCTCAGCCGCTGACCACCTCTCCTTTTCTTATTCTGATCAGAAGCATGCATCAGCGGGGACTGGAAGTGGTTTAGGTAGCCTGGCAGGACGAGGCTTTTGCCACTTTTCTATTTTCTTACAAGCCTCCTCTCGAAGACCTCTTAATTAATTTGAAGCCAAGAATCTACAAGCATGAGCTTACAGAGATGGTGTGGTGGCCTGAACTACATCTCTTTGCTCAATATTATAACCCACACTACCTGTTAGACGCCAAGAATATCCTGCAAGTATCATTTTCTGGGAACCAAGAAGCTGAACATCACAGGAGGGAATGTTGGCTAATGCTGCGAGACTGCCAGCAGTGATCATGAGCCTGGCAGCAACGTCCAGCAATCCAATGTTGGCTAATGCTGCGAGACTGCCAGCAGTGATCATGAGCTTGGCAGCAACGTCCAGCAATCCCAACAAAAGCAGAAAAAATGGGTGCAGCGAATCCTAGCTATGAACAAATTAAGCAGACTTTGTCCATAACTTTGTTGTACGTATATGTGTTGGACAATTTGGATATGGTATCCAAGTCGACTACTCCATCTTCCTGATAATGATCAATAAGATGTTGCATGTCCCAATCATCTAATTCATCAGAATCTTCAAGGACAGAATGATCAAGAAGAGTAACCATAGCCACGCGGGGAGGGTTGGATTGGATTTGGACAGTTTTGGTTGATAAGAGCCTTGTAGGCCGGCTACTCATTAAGGTGGTCTTATGAAATGGAATATCGAAGAAGTTTGATGAAGAGAAAGAGGAGCCTCATGTCAAGGAAGGAAGGCCTTTACTTGCGTCGAGGAATTGTTCATAAATCCGAGTCTTTCAGGATACAGAACGGCTCGGGTTGTCGTATGCAGCAAAGAGCCCGTGGCCTTTGATAATTTAGTTAATTAAAGGGCCTCACCTGGCCTTTCATAATTTAATTAATTAACGGGCTAATCCATTTGCCCAAATATCTATACCGGGCCTTACTATAAGATGAGCCCAGTCTGATATATATATAAAAAAATCTAACTGTTTTAATTTACCTTTACACTTAGATTTTGCTTAAAAACGAGGATCTCAAGCCCACATCCATCCTTCGTCAAGTATAGATTCCAACTGGATAACCAAAACCAGATTCAAGTCCAACCAAAAAAACACAAGAAAAAGAGACCACTAGTAGGAGGAGGATAGCTTCCAAAACTGGCTAAATGTCTATTTCCTCTTCCTCTTAAGCAACCTTCTACCTCAAATGATCTTTCAAACATTACACAGACCACCACTACATCGACAGCCTTTAACAATACCACTCCTCTCCAAACAAATCAAGATGTCGGACAACTTGTCAGTCATGGGGTTAGTGTAACGTGTATCAATCAATTTGACAACTGTACGGTGATTCCAGATGTTACAATTTTATGTGTATGATTGAACGATTCATGTGGGTTTATGCGCCTCACCATATTTTCAATTGAAAATGTCTTCATCCGTTGCTCAGTATTTGCTTTCTTTCTTCTAGGACGTTACGGATACCACCCCCTTGCTTTTTCACTGTGATGGTGAAACCCACAGGCAACAACCATCAACTGGTACAGCATCGTTACAATTCGTCGGGGGGGCAATTTATTGGCAGCCGAAACAACACTTGAGCATTGCGTGTTCAAGGGACGATTGCAACATCTATGCCTCCAATTTAGTGGCTGAATCAAGGGCATCTACAGTACTGTTTTGCTGTGTCCAGAGCTGTGCGTATCTACCTGCCTTGGTCAGGAGAACTTCATGGGGTCCCTGTTCAACCACTTTACCATTCTCCAAAACTATTATCTGAAGCCACATTTCAGAAGGATGGGAAAGTATGTATAAATATATATTGAGCTGGTAAGAGAATAATGCACAAAGAATAATGACATTCACAGAAGCATTAAACGCTTAAGAGAGTTCAACTAAGGTTAAATTGGATCAAAAAGCTAACATGAAGAAGCCCACAGTTTACAAGGTTGTTTCAAACTTCCTAACATCTTTAGCATCTCACTTCACTAGTAGGCCAACATAGGGACTTCTTTCGCAATCAACAAATAGGTGTTGCATGGAGGTTTACATCATCAACAGCAATGCAAGTTAACACAAGCTCCAATCCAAGACAAGACATTCAACGCAAAAGTTTAAGATAATATGAACTATAAGATCGTACAAAATTTCATACAAAACCAACAGAGAACTTTTTTAACAATGCAAGTGCTTTTCTGTGTCCCTTGGATCAAAGGGAGTAAAAGGCATGCCTATTATTTTGCTACAAGGACAAACAAGGAAAGATGTAACACCTGCTGATGAAAGTGAAAAGAACCTAATCTTGTAAGTAAAGACGGGAAACAGTGGAAGCATGAAATCTAAGCGAGTAAGACAGTTGGCATACTCTAATCAAATTCTGTAAATACTCTGAATCAAGACCCTAAAAGTATAGAACCCTAAAAGAATAATGAAACATGGTTTCCAAGGATGCTCACCTCATCACACTGCATAGCAGTTGTAAGCCTATGCGCAATGAAAACTGAAGTTCGATTGCTGGATAATAATTTCAATGCATTTAGAATCTCTGCTTCTGTGGTGCTGTCAAGCGCACTTGTAGCTTCATCACATAGCCTGAGGAAATCAAATGAGACAAAGTTCATTAGGCATATGTGACTAAGGGAAGAATAAAAACCCGATATGTGATATGTGTTTGTCTGAAGTTTTGTTTCTGTTGATTTAGTTCAAGACAGTGAATCATATGCAACCCTTGTCTTTGGGCCAGGCTCAAAATTGCCGTAACTGCATCTAGATCAAATCAGCTTGGTGAGTTACAGCAGCATTTAAACTAGAATTTAGATACTGGATAATGGAACAGACAAAATTTATCATCATCAAAATTATGCGTTGTTATGCTGATTGAGAAGAAGTTTACTACCTTAAAACTCAAAACAACTTAAAGCACTACAGAAATATTTTCTTAATTTACAGAAGCAGTAGGCACTATCATGCAAAAACTCTATCTATCAGAACTATGACTTACAGTGAAAATCTTATGGTCACTCCATTTTGTTGGGCACTAAATGCAATTGTTAAATGCACAAGAATGCAAGACCAAGATAGAAAGGGTAAGTATCTAGAATAGACGGAATATTTGTTCAACAGCACTCTTTAAGATTTTGAGAAAAGAAGTAACCAACTTGACCATCATGGAAGAATGATTACCGGTCAATAAGAAGAATGGAGTTCTTACAGAATAGGAGTCACTTTCAAAAATGCACGAGCCAATGCCACACGCTGCTTCTCACCACCACTTAACTGGATGGAAAAAATTCCTCATTATTAAACATTCAAGATTCCACAGTAAAGAAAAGTACACATTTAGTAATCTCATTTCATTTTAGAGCAATTTGGTCACAAAAAGTTCTCTCTTTACAGAGCACTGTGTCGAAGTAGATTCCCAAACTATCCACATTCGATAAGAGTTAGTCTACCAGGAAATTTCATCATATTTGTTAAGACAGTACTAGAGGGCAATGGAGCCACACATGGTTTAAGACTGGCATAGATCAAAATCCAGAACATCTTAGCCTAACCCATGCAGTTTCAAGTCAAAATGAGGGGCCAAGAAGATACAGCATGGATTGAAAGTGAAAAGATCATCTAGCAGTAACTCATTGTCTTTTATTTTTCTCAGTTTTCTTTTGGAGGGAATGATAATACATGGATCCCAAAACAGTATTCCATCCAAGGTCTTGAAGTTAGGTCTTGTCAAGAAATCATCTAAACCCAATAGCTTAAGTTATTAGATGAGGTTCCAAGATATGATTTATATTATTCCCTAACAGGTCTCCCACAGCCATTTCTGGTAGAAAATTTCTTTAGTTGATAGGAATAGACCACTCACCTTGAGCCCTCGTTCCCCTACTATAGTAGAATATTTCTCAGGGAAGTTCATGATAGTGTCATGAATTGCTGCTTGTCGGGCAGCATCATAGACCTGAGGATAAAGAAGCGTAAGCAAAGCAGTAATAAGCATCATAAGCAATTCATACTTTGGAGGGTGAAAAGGAAAAAGACACACTTCCTCTTTTGTTGCTGAAAGACGACCATAATGAATGTTGTGAAATATTGTGTCATTGAAAAGTACCTGTACGTGAAGCAAAAGTAGCTCAGCTCATTAACATTACAACTCGCAAGATCTCACAAGGGAGATCCATTAAATTATATGCATAACGTGAAACTACATAAACTAAATTGCTCAAGAGAACATACTATGTCTTGAGGGACAACACCAATAGACCTCCGCAAACTGTCCAGTTTTACATCCCTTATATCTTGACCATCAATTCTTATCTGCCAAAAAGCAAGTGCCAATTGCTAAAGCAAGAATAGGAAAGAGTTTTAATTGAAATTAACAGTATTGTTTTTGGATCAAAGAAAAATGTTCTGGACTGGGAGGAAGAAGTGAAACAATATATAGGATCTTCTTACAAGGAAAATATTATTTTCGGAAGTTAAGATCTGTTGAACCACATGACAATAACAATGGAGGAATTGGTTCTTACATTTCCAGAATTAGTGTTGAAAAATCTGTAGAGTAATCTAAGAATGGTTGACTTACCTGCAAGCAAATACATTTGAAATAAATTAGCAGTGTGGGTAATTAAGTGCAAAAGCATTTGCTAATGCAAATACAGGATCATCAATTTAATTCCAGCACCTGTAAATGAACTTGCTCTTGTTACAGATTACAAATTAATAACAATAATAGCTTAATATTACACAAATGGAGACATGTTTATAAATTACTATGATATTTATCCCAGCCCTGGTTTCAACCTACAAAACATCACATCATGAGTAAATATCATCCATGAAGGAATACCAGAACTATGGATAAACTTTGGAAAGTCTAAGTATATGAAGAAAGCAAAAAATACATTTCACATCACAGAACGATTCTAACAAAAATGGGTGCAAAAACAAGTAGCTGATGATAGTAGTCTCTAAAACAAATTAGATCCTTACCACTACCACTTGTTCCAACAATAGCCACACTTTTTCCTGCTGGTATAGAAAAAGCTACGCCATCAAGAATTTTTCTTTCTGCCAAGTAGCTGTCACAAGTTTAACAAGTACAGTGGACAAGCAATTAATAATCAACAAAATCATCAGATATTCACAAATGAATAATAATAAAATATTGAATTCCAAATATAACCACAATCAAACAACAAACATATAATCTGAAAAGCTAATCTGCCAAACCAACTTTTCTTTTAACTGCATATGGATGCAAAACAACAATTAGCCTGCACACATAAAGAGAGTCAAGGACAGGTAGGGGGGGCTGAATTAACTCCAAAACTTGTTCAAGGAAAGCAATGAATTGAAGTCCCTCAGGAAATCTTCAAGTCCCGAAGGTGATAAAGGATGACTGATACATAGGATAAGTGGCTATGTTTAAGGAACTAGGTTACGATTGGGATAAAAGAAAACAAATGAAAGTTGACATTCTGAAACTTCCCAACTCTGTGAACATCGAAACAATGGTTTTCTCTTTTAATAGAAAAGGGAAAAAAATAGCTTCCTGTTTGCAAAATGTCATATTGTCAGAAGTATTTTTTATATCAATTTTGTTTTCCCTCCTTTTGTAGCTAGGACCAGCTTTTGAAGCAATTGTAATCTGATTTCTAGAACAAACCAAAAGAAAATCTGATCTATCATAAAAATGAGATTTTGTAAACAAATAAAAGAGCAAAAAGTTTCAAGCCTTCACACCTAGACTTCCTTCAGGTCAGACTCAAGATTCCTTCTGCATTGCGTTGGTAAAAATTTCACCACATCACGGAGCTTCAAGCTGACAAGTCTAGAACTTGGAGCACAACTTTTTATTGTCTGACATTTAAGCTTGCATTGGAGTGAGAGTTCTCCAACATACATACACAGTTTACCACCATTAAAGTAAATTAATTACAGTTGCTTTTTAAATGAAAATCCGATCTTCAAGTTGGAAACAAGCAGTGAAAATCTACATAAGATTAGCAACCACTAAACTTGAATGATTTCAATTGCTGGGTTGCCACATAAAGCCAATTATCAATACAATATCAGAACCTGCAGTAGCAGTAATTTTGGATAGCAATGATTTTGGAACAGACATGACAAATGCAAAAAATTGACAGCTAATTCAAAATAATTTTGACCATGGAAGCAATAACTAAACTTTAGATATGGAATTCATACTACCTGTCTGTCAAACAAATTTCAATAAATAAGGAACCATCATCAAACCTGAAGTGTACATTGTCAAATTGAATGTCACCTCCCTTTAATATAAGAGGCTTTGCATCATCCTTATCTCTAATATCAGCTTTCTCCTGCAAAAAATCAATAGAACAAGGTACTTTATAAGCCAAGTCCACATGAAAGCAGGTTTTTTTAAGAAAGAAAAGCTTCAACATTTGGATCAACAATCAAATCACCGTATGATTGTTCTTTTTTTCTTGCTGTGCTTCCATGCTTTATGGGGACACATTCAGAAACTATAAAGCTACTTTACAAACTTGAAAAAGAAAATGGAATTGTAAAGAGTGAAATAAAAAAAGCTAGATTGACTCTTGAGCTGCAAGAAAACAGCAGAGAGTTCCTTGAAAATATACCTCGAGTAATTGAAACAAGGACTTCATGTCAACAAGACTCTGTATGGTCTCACGGTAAACACTGCCAAGGAAATTAAGTGGAAGGGAGAGCTGGAAGAGAAGTCCGTTTACCATTACCTGTGTTTTCACATGCATACATAATTTGTCTAACCATCAGTTAATCACACAAGATACAGAGCTTTATGATAGTTTCTTCTTTTATGAAGAAGCTTTACCAAATCACCAACTGTCATCTGGCCATTCATAATCCCATGTGAACATAAAACCATAGCTGTTGACAGAGCTGTGCTAAAAATCAAATTTTGGCCAAAATTCAGAAAGGCAAGACTTCGTGATGTTTTCAAGGCAGTGTCTTCATATCCTGAAAGAGAGCATTGCTTTGAAATTGAGAGAGAGTGAGAGAGAGAAAAAAAAGCAGATATGAGCACAGGAAGAGACTGTTTAAAAGGGCTGCTTAAGTTCAGCAAAGCAGTGCGGCATGACAGATAGAATCAAGCACCAAGAGTACCATATCCTTGAATTCTAGATGAGATTGTGCCAACACTCACTAGCTTGGCTTGTTAGCCAAGATAATCAGAAAAAAGAATACATAAAAGCAAGAAGCAGAAACAAGGAAAAGACAAGTGCTTGTTGCAGGATGCCTTTACAGGCATTAATGATAATGGAATTATTAAGAGTTCAAGTTGAAGTGTAATCAATACAGAAATCTAAAATTACTCAGAGAACACACACACACATATACATGAATATATAGAAGAATAGGAACTTTCTAAACAAAGAAAAGGATAAGTTAAGAATAATAACATGGGATGATGCAACTAACTGCAATGCTGGAAAAATCATGATAGTTTTTGGAAGCTCTAACTTATTCTCGAGCTAAGTCAAGGTTCAACTATTCACCACATGACTGTTGCAGGGTTTCTATTGTAAGTTCAAAGCCACAATTTCAAGCAATCGTTAAAGAGTGTAATATAAAGCCATTTTCTAGACTCAATTAACAGCTTAAGCTTTTTGGATGAGTGGTTTTTTTATATGATATCATAGCCTTTTTGAACAAGTGCTAAGGAGTTCAAATCAATGTTAATCAACATCTCATTCTAGGAATGCCACATCATGACTGCCACTTTTAAGTTTTCATGGTCATCAATGTGTTAATTTATTCCAAGCAGTGGCTGATTTGTTTCAGATTTAACATCAAAGTAGTAGATAATAACTATAATGTTCCAACCACTCACTCTTTAAGTACTCATCATATCTGTCAGCTTCATAAGCTTCGTTGTTGAAATATTTGACCGTCTGGCAGAAACAGGGGGGAAAAAGAGAAAAACAAGATAAGTGGAAACCATAACAATGGGAAAAAAAGAGAGGTTATGGCACAGTAAAATGAGGTGTCAAATAAGAGTTAAACAGAAAATCCTTCATAAAATGATGCACCACTGTAAGCAGGGAAAAAAACCAAAAAAGACACATCATAATCTCACCTCATAATTGATAAGGGAATCAATTGCCTTCGTACTAGCATCATTATCAGCTTTATTCATGGCCTTCCTGAACTTGGTCCTCCACTGCACATGACAAAGACAAATTGATGAAAATGTGATCAACAAAAACATTGGAAATTTAAGAAAATGGGGGGGGGGAGTGCCTCATAGAACTAAAACATGTGATCACATTGTGTAAAGTGAAAATGACCAAGGATAGCACCAAAGCTCATCCTCAAAATCCATGCAAAAAGATGATCGTGGGAAAAAAAAAGTGCACTATCTATTTCAGAGCCAATGGGCACGATGGTAGTAAGGAATTGGAAGAAGATATAGTACCTGTGTCACAGACAACGTGAAAGTAACATAAGCAGCCACTGAGAGTGAAGTGATCCATGCAAAAGGGGCGCCAAATTTGTATGCCAGTATACCCGCCACCATAGATATCTGGAAGGATGGATGAAAAATTCTGTCAAAAAATGTTCAGAAATAAGGAAGCAATTGTACAGGTAGATGTTTTAGCTGGTTGTGAACAAGGAGTTGAAGTGTTTCATTATGGAAAGATATCAAGAATTCACATAGGAGATCAGTGTGCAGCTTACCAGGGATACCAACATGTTTGACTAAATCCAAAATATAAAAAAAGTCAAGTTGCTCAAAAGAAGAAAAAAATTTGTAGCAGAATATTCATACCTCTAAAATAGTCGGTACAACGTTGAACACCATAGATGAGAGGATGAAGTTTATTGCACGGCTACCACGATCAATTGTTCTACTTAATCCACCAGTTTCTCGACTGGAAAGACACAGATGAAGTAAGATGCGTAACAGAATGTGGTGGATGACTTATTGAATGTAGCCAATATATGATAGATAGAAAGGGCTTTCTATGCTATAATGAAGCATGAATACCTAAGATGATAGCGGAGGTCAAGCTCATGCAAATGTGAAAAGACCTGAACTTTGATTTAAGAAAAACAAGCAAATTACAAAATTAAATCATAAGAAGGAAAACGAACACATTCACAAATGAAACTCATAAATAGGAAAAAGCATTGACTAACCTTCCTAGAAACAGATCGGATTGTTCTCAGAGCTACTTTAGAAAACACAGCAGTCCTCAATTCTGGGAAAAAAATGGGTAAACGTGAGAAGAGACTATAGAAGGCACAAACTTTATTATTTATTATCAGTAAGTAATAGTGTATAGCGGTAGTGATTTACCATTGAAAGCAGAGGATCCGGTGCGGGCAATGCCATAACCAATGAGAACAGAAGCAGGGGTAGCAAAGAGAGCAAGGAGAGTGGAATTGGCAGTGGTGAAGGAAGCAAGAGCAGCAGCATTGCCAGTGGCAGTAGTCAACCAATCAACAGCGAGCTTAAAAAGAAAAGGGACTTGAACATTCAAAACCTTAGCACCCACAAGGAATCCAAGGGCGAAGACAACCCTCAAGCGGAATTCGGGGTTATCTTCCATCCACAAGTAACTAGCAAGAGTGCGTAGGATTTTCGTGTCAGCAACTTGTTGGTCTGATTTATTAGTAGCAGTAGTAGCCGATGAAGAAGGAGGAGCTTTATTTGCAACACCATCTTTATCCTTTGGAGCTGCCGTTGTTGAGAATAAGGCATGGCCATTCAGCACAGAGTTCTGTTATTGTAACAAAATAAAGAGTATTTCTTTCAGTTTCAGTAAGTAAAAGGTGAATTATGAATATAAAATATCGAAAATTGAGAATGAGATAAAGGACAAACCGGTGGCCGGAAAGGAGTTGCGGAGGAGGAAGCAGGATTGGATAGGAAAGCATTGAGATTGAGATAGCGACGATGATTCCATGATGGAGTGGTGAATGATCTGTTGCTGCTGGAGGGGGAATTGGCGAAAATAGCAGTGCCGCTGCTCCGTCCAAGAAAGCATCTTGGCCTATTATTGTGATTAGGAGTATGAATGGAATGGGAATGGTTGAAGAAGCATAAAAACAAGAGAGGGTTATTCTTGATGTTGTGATTGCCAAGGAGGAGGTTGTTATGAGCCTTAAAGCACTTCTTAGATGCCGCCGCCGCCGCCGCCGCCGCCGCCAACATAATCGCTCTGCTTCCACCACGACTAAATATTAGAAAACAAAATCAAACTACCAAAATAGAATAATGAATAATACTATAAGACTAGGAAGACATGGTGTTGCATTCACTCCACTCCCGAGAAGAAAAACAAAACAGTCTCAAATCACTCCAAAACAAAAGCAAGTCTCCCATTATTTAAATTATATTACTTTCAATCCAGATATATAAATTCAATTTATTTATAAGTTAAATTCAAATAAAACACTTACAAATGAGTTGTTAATTAAGACAAATTAACAGTAATAAATAAGAACAAGGGAGCCCATTATGCTTGGTATTTAGATTCTTCCTCCCTGTAATATTAATAATTCATTTCCCGTACACATCCAAGCCTCTCCTTCCAATTTTCGTCCCGATTCTCTCCTCGCATCTCTTAATTTGTTTTTTACTACCACGGGGGGTTTCTAACCTCGAAAGCTCATTTTGACGGGAGAACACATCTCTAAACCATCTAAAAATATATATATTTTTCTCCTTTTAAATCTTAAAATACTCTAAAATCATTTTATAATTTGAAAATCAAGCCCTGATTTATTGATGTGCAAAATCACTATCAATAGTTTTTTCTTGATAACAAAATCATTGATTTGATTCTTTGTCGCTCATTATCATTTTCAACTTTCTTTTTCATGTCTCACAATTCATGGACTTAAAAGGATAATAAAAAAATTTGAGAATCAAAATATAAAACTATAAAAGCCTTAGGTGGAAATGATAAGAAAACAAAAAATAAGAAATTAAAGTTATTTTTTACATCATATTATATATATATATATATATTCAGAAAACATATTTAAATTTTTTTTATAAAATTATAATTTTTTTATGAAATAATTGACCAATAAATACCACTATTTTTATAAAAAAAAAAAGATAACATTTATTAAATATTGCTATTCACAACAATTTTATCATCTTTAAAAATAATTATATTTAATAAATATTTTATTTTTAAAATATAATATAATTAAACTGTATTATTTTATCAAATCTTTTTAAATTTTTATTAATTTACAATGCTAATTTGATAAAATATTCCATTTAACCAACTCTCTATCCAATATTTTAAAAGTTGTTTTCCTTGTTTCCCAGAGGAATAATTTTGCAAAGTTTACACCACTTATTTGTCTTATTTTTTTTCTTTAACAATCTGAATTTGAATTTTAATGCTGATACTTAAAAAAATTTCTTAAACAATGTGCTTTTAAAATAATAATGAAGAAAACTTAGTATCCATTATCACCTAGACTGTAAAACATGAAAAAATAAATATAAAAGTTCTTTTGAAAGATAAACACAATCTTTAAATTATTTTTTAAATTTATTTTTGAAATTATTATATTATAAAACAAAAAAATTATTATTTTTTTAAATTACATCGCAACCAGCGAGATTGCTCATTCACTTTAGAAAAAGAAAAGAAAGAGAAAATTACAAATCTGTCAATTTGTGATTTAATTTCTTATCTTGTTTCTCTACCATACAACTTCAGCATGCTATCACTTGGCTTCACTCAGCCAGTAGCTGTATGCCTCTTGAAAACCTTGTCGTTTATCTTAACATTACGATGGATTCCCTTCTTCTACACCACCAATTAATAATTACTTGGTAAGGTCTTCCAGAGCAGGGAAAGAATGGCATCTACCTGCAGCCTGCAACAACATGGGAGAGTACCGGCCTCTTTCAATCTCCACCACAAACAGCAGCGCTCTTGCTCCCCAAGGATCAGTGCAATGGTAGGAAACAGAAATGTTATGATGCTCCAGGGATTTATTTATAATAACAATGTATCTAAGAGGAGACCAACTGCAGGGTTGGTGGTGAAGTGTAGTGGGATAGGATTAGGTGACTTCATTGGAGGGGATTTGGTAAAATTTGATATAGGGCAGTGGCTGTCAGATGTGGAGGAGCACAAAGCCCTTGCCATTTACCCCCCTCACGAAGGCGGCTACGAGGGTCGTTACCTTAACCGCCTCATCCGCCAGGGCTACTACTTCCTTGACCTCAGTGCTCGTGGCCTTGGGGATCCTGAGACCACCCTCACCAAAGTTCATCCTGTTTGTCCTGTGAGTAATTATGCATTGGATACACTCCCACCATCAATCAATATTCATTTCATGATAGCTTATGCTTTCTGTGAATGCATTAATTTCAGGCACATCTAGGGAAGCAACCCATAGCAAGGTGGTATTTCCCCCCAGAAGTTGATTTCAGACTTGAACACCTGCCCCCTAATGCCAAGGGACTGGTGGTTTGGATAATCGAAGCCAAGGTATGTGAAATTACCCAAACGCATTTCTTTTTCAGTTACATTTCCATGGTTTTTTTGTTGATACAATTAGGAGGAACCAAGAAAAGTATAGCCGGCAAGCATTCAAATCGAATAAAATTTCATTCACTCATGTTTTTGCACACCGCTTGTACAGGTTTTGTCCAAGGCGGAACTGCAGTTTCTCGCTCTGCTGCCAACGCTCCGCCCTAACGTCAGAGTCGTTGCTGAATGTGGAAACTGGTAAGCTTTGCTTTGAACTGATAATTCACCAATTGTTTAGTCCTATTTGCATCTTATTCATTCCGTTTTTCCACACTACAAACTTTAATGTTGTACAATAGCAATTACCTCCATAATTGCAAACTCAATTATGTGCAGGAGAAAGTTCGTGTGGAAACCACTCAAAGAGATAGCTGGACTAACAGCAGAGGGAGCTTGACTGGCTACTCGAGGAGACAAAGAGGCACATGGAAATGCAGCTCTGGTCTTTTTTGTCACCTGTGGGACTCAGCTTCAATTTCGGGAAGAAACCGAAGATGAAGCTGATTAACAATGTTTATCTTCTATACCCCTCAATAACTCACAATATCATATTAAAAAGTGAAGCTCACTCACCAATCGGCCATGTGTGAATATGTTTCATCCAATAGAGAATCGATCCTTAATTATCTAGTCATATCATACAACCTTCACCAAGCATCCTAAAGAATAATAATAAAAAGATAGAATTGAACAACGTACGGGCATTGTTTGCACATCGCATTCAACTCTACAAAGAGAATTCACTTTTTACGGTAGAGAAACAGAGTATACAAAGCAAATGATACAACGACCACCCTCCTCTTTTCTTGGGAGTTATTTCATCGGTGTCTCTATATGGCAATGGGCGAAATCTCCAAATGAATAAACCCTGCAAGTTGCCGGTTCGTTTTCCACCAAACCATCATTTGCGATCTCAAGCACTGTACTGCAGTGTATTGCTATTTATATTTGTCATCACAAGGAAAAAAAGAAGAAGCCTGTACTAGTCTACAGATTGAAGCTGAGTGAGAGAGAGATTAAACGATATTTTTCGTTGGTTTACTTCTAACGAGCGAGAACAATGCAACGAACGGTGCCTGCAATTGTACATGTTGAAGTGTTAATTAGCCTCCGTCTCATTTCCCATTCTCTCTTGTATCAACAAAACAACCTACAAGCTAAAGTTCTCTTCCCACGCCGTCGATTGTCCAGACTGTCCAAATCTAATAGCCTTGGCGATGAAGACGCTGGCAATGGAGCTGTTAGACCAACAGATTCTGGAATGTCGAGGTTGAAACAGAAGAACTCGTTCTCCAAGGGTTGCATTCTTGAATCACCAAAACAGAAACCTGTAATTTGTAAATAAATCTTGTCTTGAAAGAGTGCTAATCTGAGTTGACTAAATCAAATCATGAGCAAGGGTTAACACATTTAGCTATTATACCTGTCAGAACAGAAGCACTCAGATATGAGTCGGGATATCAAACAACTTATTTGCCAGTGTAAAGGAAGATCTCAAGATCTCTCTGGTTTGTAGAGTATCATGCAGGGCAAGAGCCAGCCAAGCGTCCAAGGATGGTCAAATACTGTGCAACGAGTTCTGCATGAACCATGCTATTTTAGCACATGAGGAGAGACAGAAAAGCTAGATTTAAAGACGGACCTTGGAACCGTTTATCGAAAAGAATAACACGGACACAAAAACCAAAAGGCATGGGAGCAATATTTCTTGATCAATCTATATTTGTACTTCTCCTGACGAACCATTTAAGGCGGGCGTACCTTCTTCTTTACGGTTCACACCAATAAGAGTAAAGTCTGGCATATTCTAAGGTAAAATTGCTCATTTCAATCTCCCATGGCTCTTAGTTCTCGCCCCGGATAAAGAGAGAGAACAAAGTGTCGCATCGCCGCAAAAAAAGGATAATGGCTTTTGGCAAAGCACAAATTAGAAGGTAAAGCAATTTTCTTCACTAATGCTGATGTTGTAAGAGAACATGCAAGCCATTGAAAACGTACTGGATCAAAAAATAGCCATATGCGAGTCAAACATCGTCCTGTTCAAATGAAAATCTCCCATACTGAAGTCGTCCATAAGAGACCAAGCATCTACCGTGCTTCCTCATATATAAGTAAGAAGAACACTCACTTGGCACATGGCTTGCTTGCGTTGAGTTGCTCCCTGTTACCGCACATTTGAATTAAACATGTGGTGATTAATGGCATCTGCTTGCTAAGCAGAATAAACATTTGCTAATGCCATCGATAGCTTTTGCTGATTATAGCATTAGCTAAACAGAGTGATGCTCATTATATGAACCCTAAGCATCATTCAGAACATTTGCTTATGTCTTTTTTGATTTATCATCACTCCATAGATATTATCAAGTATCTCTCAATTAAAAAAAATTCATAATACCCTAAAACATATCCATAATTGCGTTAAGAATAAACTTAAAATCTGGCCCTTTCACCAAAAAGGACTACACTAATAGAAGAGGCATCGGTCTTATCAATCAGAAAGCTAGTGGCATCCCTTAAACCATTCCGTTCTTTAGGATTGAGCGGAATGCGGGCTGAAGAAGCATGGCTTCTTTACTAACTAACAGCGCAGCTAATCCCATGTTGCAAAATTGGTTTAAATCTAAAATTTATGCTGAGAAGAAAAGGATGTGCTTTCATAAAAGGAAAAACTGCAATCTACCTGTGAGGTTAGGCTACTGGCTAGACAAGGCCCTTGCAAGCGTCTTGGCTTAACTGTTACAAACAGTAACAGTCCCTCTAGCGTTCTATCATTATGGTAAAAGCTAAATAGGTAGGAAAATTACAGT